AGAAAAACCTATAGGTTTCAGAAAAATATGATTCCAAGTTTGTTAATCTTCTTATGTAATGTACTTCCTAGGAAAAATATATGTCATGCATGTACTGTAGAAAAATTATGAGGTGTAGTTCAAGTGCCTTTAATGGCTGGTTTTTGTTATTTTTGCTAGAGAGCAAAATTTGTATAAAACATGCATGTGATAATTTTTGTACAGTGATTATTTGCTGTGTAGAACATAGGAAAAATATTTCCTATGTTGTTTGACACTCTTCATAGTACAAAGTATTTTCAGGTTCATAATCATGCCATAGCTTGTTATTTTTGTGTAGGCTAATTCACTCATTCAAATACCATGAAAATCTAATGGTAGACTACTTAGGGTAGTACTGTGATATGGTAATTTTCTAAGATTTTTCTAAGCAATAAAAATAGATGTTGCTATTCAAACCTATTATTAATTAGGGTTTAATCAAGTGTTGCTTTATGTGTAATTAAGAAATTAGTGAAGCTTTGGTGTATCTTTGAAGTATTTAATGAGAGGTGTTGACTTAGCATATTAGTAGTAGAAGAGAATGCAGTAGATGACATGTGCTTGTAGTATATGTTTTTGGATGATGTTGACTACCTTGCATTCAAGCATATCCATTGTATTCATCTCATCCGATGCACTGATTGCATAAGCACTTACGCACATTGCATCATATAGGATCGCAAACCGAGAACCCAGTTGTCATACCCAAGGAGCCCGAGGAGCAGCTCGAGGTGCAGCCGCAGGAAGTGCCCGAAGCCGACGAGGAGGACGTTGAGGAACTTCCGGAGTGCCCCGATCACCACCCGAGCTCCTTCGAGAGAGGCAAGCCCCGGAGCATTTTCTCCCCGGTTTACAATTATTAATTAACTGCTTTACTTTAATTGATGCATTATGTTCAGGAGTTGTTTGCAACTGTTGCTGCATTATACCTTGTCTACCTTTGTTATACCATATCGTTGTTACCCTGGTATCCACAGTCGAGTTAATGTTTAGCTGGCTTAGACCAGTAGAAGTCGGGTGATTTCCTGTCACCTGCGAGCTATAGGTGGTTACCTAGATCTGCTTGGATGACTATGTAGTCATGGTATAACTAAGTGTTAAATAAAGTTGAGACCGGACGGAGACTTACAGAGTTTTGGACTGTAGTGCTTTTCGTCTGTGTCGATTAAGGACCGACCGTTGTTGGGCCTCGAGTCATATTGAACGCATGCCTTACATTTAGCTGGCCGAATAAAGTACCTTTCAACCGCGAAGCTGGGAGATTATTCGGGCCGAGTAGATTGCCCGCAGCGCACTGTGCCGGAGCAGGTGTGGTAAGACACAGGGGCGAGATGATAAGACCAAAGTGCAGTCGGTTGGCCCCCGGGTACATGTGGTTCCTGGCAAACTTAAGCTTCCTGGATAGTTGACTCGGTGACCGATACCTCACTTTAGCGGGTGAGTGAGGTTTGTGTAAGGAATAAATCATCAGCTGGTTAGGAATCGATTCGAATCGCCATCGCTCCTGGATAGTGAGCACTTGACTTGAGTTACTTCATCGTAGTAATGTTGATGGAACACTTGGACAATTATAATGAATATGACATTATGGAAGTTGATTAATGATCATGGGTTATCATTATTTGCTTAATCTCATGTTTACTCTAGTATAGGTGCAAATGTAGTCGACAGGTTAATAATAATTAACTTGACAATAATGCTTTTAGAAAGGTTCTTGAAATGCTAAAAATGCTTCTTTTTGCAAATGAGTCAGCTACCCTACTATAAAGCCCTTAATATTCCTTGGTGTCACTTATTTTCGGTTATGTCGGGTAAGTCTAGCTGAGTACCTTCTCGTACTCAGAGTTTTATTCCCACTTGTTGTAGATGGGCAGATGTATTACGGCTACTATATCAACTGTGTTTATCCTGCGATGGGTGATGCTTAGGACCATGGGCATGGTCATTCCTTACGTCTCATCTGATGCTTTTGTTGGAGATGATCATTAGCTGGCACTGTATTTGAACTCCGTTTGAGTGTGTGTGGTTTTGAACAAATGGCTTCCGCTACTTTTATTCGAACTCGTTTTGTAATAACTATGCTTAAACTCTGATGTATCTGAGATGTAAACTTTTATGTAATATGTGATGGTGGCCGCTAAACTTATTACGATCTTGGCTGGGATGTGAGTTGGTTTGAAATCCTTCGTGATTTCACGGACTACCGGGTTATACGGGCTTAAGTTTGCTAAATCGTCTGTTCTGACGGATGATTTTCTTACTTAATTTCGTATAATTGGTCGGTTCTGTTACAGCTACTGAAAAAATTTAGCTATGAAAAGAATGATATCCTAGAATTAACCATGTGTGATGGATAATTGGAGACCGGACAGAAAAGTTGGAGGCAACCAGACATGGTTCTAGGGTGCTGTTAGTTTCCGTCTGTGTCGATTAAGGACCGATCGTTGCTCGTCCCTCTTATCATGTTGAACGCATGCCTCACATTTAGCTGGCCGAATAAAGTACCTTTCGACCGCGAAGCTAGTGGCACTATTCAGGCCGGGATCTACACGGGTGCACGTATTGGTGCTGATGGGGGTATGACAGGGACGTGAAGAGTGAGCCCAAGGGCAGGTGCGCCTTGATTCCTGGCAGTCGGGCGATCCCTGGGTACTGTGGCTCTAGATTGTCCCGCGGCTACCTGAATAGTGTCCTTGGTGATCTAAACTACCCTGGCAGGGGAAGCATGGTTTGTGTGAGGAATAAATCACCAGCTGGTTAGAAATCGATTCGAATCGCCATCGCTCCTGGATAGTGAGCACTTGACTCGAGTTACGGCATCGTAATAATTATTATGGAACAATGATGGTTATCTGTATGGTATGAGATATGCTAAATCTAAATTGGTAACTGGATGTTATTGGTTAATCAAGTGATTGCTATAGTACATGTGCTTACCTAGATGGATAGGTCCTAATAAAGATGATGCAAAGTATTTAAAATGATGTCTTCATGATAACTTATGCTTTTCGCAAACAAGTCAGCTAGCCCACTAAAGAAAGCCTTGCATAATCCTTGGTGTCGCTTTATTTTGGTTTAAGACGGGTAAGTCTAGCTGAGTATCTTCTCGTACTCAGGGCGTTGTTCCCATTGTTGTTGCAGATGGTCAAATGTACTACGGCTATTGCATTAACTGCCTGTACCTGGCGATGAGTGACAACTAGGACCAAGAGCAATGGTCACTCCGTATCTCTCATCTGATGCTTTTGTTGGAGATGACTACCTACTGGTATTGTATCTGAACTAAAAGTGTGTGTGTGGCTTTAAAATTATTTGCTTCCGCTATTTCAAATTGAACTGGGTTTGTAATAACTTTATATTCTAAACTTTGATGTACCCAACTGTGATTGCGAACTTTATGTAACGTGTGACGGTACTTGCTAAACTTGTACGATCTTTATTTGTATGTCGATTGGTTTGAAATCCTTCGTGGTTTTAAGGACTTCCGGGTTATACGGGCTTAAGTTTGCTAAATTATCTGCTTCGGTGAAAGATTTCCTTACTTAATCTCGTATAATTAGTCGGTTCTGTTACAACTGCCAAGCATCTTTTGTTGACAACACCATTCACGACACGTCTATAGCACCCCCAGCCTAGCGAGCTCCTCTGCGAACACCTTGCTGAACTCCGGCATGCTCTCTGGTTCCAGCGACAGCGCACACGAGCGCGTGGCCCTGCAGGTTAGCGGTCATCGGTGAAGCTAGCGTCGTCGCCCTCGCCCTTTGTGTCCGTGTCTGCGGCGCCGTCACCCTCGCGACACCGCCACAGCCACACCGGGGGGAAGCAGGCCAAGAGGAGGGAGCCGCCGGCTTTGGTGTCATCGGGCTTAGCCTTTGGGCAGCCGTCCTCGTTCTCTTCCGTGTCCGGGAGCAAGCCACCGAGGTCGGAGCGTCGAAGGTAGAGGAGGCGCTTCACGAGGCCATTGGCGAGGAGCGCGTCCACCACCTCCTTGTGGCCATAGTACCCGACACCACCAGCGCGCCGACAGGGCCCATGAGGACAGCGACCGTGCAGCCGTCGCCTACCCGCGGACAGTAGCGCGCGCGGGGGCGTCCGTCCTGCCGCCACGCAGCGCGGCCACGAGGCATGCGATGGCCTCGTGGTCGACCCACGCCTGGATCTCGTCGGCGACGCGCTCGACCGCCCTCCGCGCGTCGCACCGGCGACACCGCGTGCGCAGGGACAGGGAGCCGGAGCACAGGTCGAGGGAGCACGATGGGTTCTGAGCCGGCATAGGAAGCGGTGCAGGGCGACGTGGTCGGGGTCGCCGGCGAGGAGGTTGTCGGCGCTGGCCTCGAGGGCGAGGAGCGCCTGCAGCGCTGGCCCGCGTACCTCCCCGGCCTCCACCCTCCGCGCGGTGTCGTACCGCAGCGCTCGCAGCACGTGGAGAGAATAGGGTTAGGGAGGGGGCATTTTGGACATTCTAACTCACTGCACCCACGTGAAAGGCTCCTGAACCGTTAAAATCAAACAGAATATGGATGGAATGACGTGGAAAGTAAGAAAGTTTAGCGTCATAACAATAAGGTGCGTTTTAATTTTTCAGTGATACTGTAGATCAGGACTATATTTCATGATGGCACCTACATAGAAAGGCCCGAAAAAAATCGCCCCGGACGTTGCTGGCTTGCTGAGGCGTGGACCTAATAAAGTCTGATCTGGTGGGGCCACTCGTCCGGAGTAATGGGTTTTCTCCTACTACTCGTTAGCACGGGCTGGGCTTTCATGGGCCGGGAGTGGCGTGTCCATGACATGTCTGTGTCTGTAATAATACTAGAAGCGACGAACGATGGACGTCCGTGATTGTTTGGAACGGCAGCGTGTTGGTGCCGGGGCCGCCGACCGTCTGGGTAGCGACGGCGCCACGGCCCACGGCGGCTTCCGGCTTGTGCGTGTGTGTGTCCGGGCGAGAGTGAGAGGGAGAGAGGAGCTGGGAAGAGATGGAGGCGCTGAGGAAGCAGGCGAGCAAGTTCAAGGAGCAGGTCGCCAAGCAGCAGCAGGTTCCGGATCCCGCTCCCGAACGCCCGATTCTTCATTCCGCCTCTCGGTTCTGTGCTTCCGCCGTTGCGCGTAGAAAATGGGCGTGATTTCGCGGTGTTTGGTTGCCCAATGTGTCGCGAGGCTGCCGCCAGGATGTGGCTGAGAGATTGCTTTCGATTTTAGGGGTCTCGCGGTTCTCATGTAGCTGGATCTCGGGGTTCCAACGCGAATTTGCATTTCTTGTACCGCGTGGATCTGCGAGCCATGGGGGTCGGAGCTTTGGGGCCAAGAGCTGGTTTTTTAGGATGCACGATATCTTTTTTTGTGTTCTGTTGTATCTTGCTAATTTGGAATGTGAATTGTTCATTAATCATTATAGCTCTAGTGTGAAGTGGACGTTGCAGTTCATTGTTAATTAATCCTTTCCTTGCTTACATTTGTGATTTTAAAATTTTCAGGCTGTTATAAAGCAGTTCAGTACTACTGGTTATGAGCGGTCAGATTCCGTTGTAATTGATGAGGTTGAACTACAGAGACATCAACAGCTTGAGAAATTGTATACTTCTACTCGTTCTGGAAGGGTAAGAAGGGGAAGATTATAGATGGCCTTTTGACCTATCTATTGATGTGAACACCTGGCCAAAAACTGATGTTGCATTTGCATTGTTCAATATACATCAAACAAACAAACATAGTCTTTGTATATTCAGTGCACTAATAAATATTTTTTTCGAAGGAAATGAAGATTTCATGATTGCAGTATACCCTTTACTGAGTTTCGTGATAGCAGTTGTTACATTTCTGTGATGTATCCACTCTAACAGGATTTCCAGAAGGACATAGTTAGAGCAGCTGAAGGTTTGGTGTCTATTGGAAACAAACATATTGAAGTGGGTATGTACTTATGTGGCTCATGTCAGTTATCCTTGGTTAATTCTGTCATGTTGAGATTTCTTCACAGCAAAAGAAAGTTACATTGTTATTTTGTCTTATTTACATTTTCTCACATAGTAGAGCCATTGGTTAGGGTTAGAAATAGGATATCTACCCTACAAAACTTAGTGTAGTATGATGCTTTGAGCTAGAATAGTCAATTGTGACTGCAGCTATCTAGGATGATAAATTCATATGCCCTCCATCTTGAGAAGGAATCACTACTATTTTCAATGGTTATCACCACTATATTTCTAGAGGTTATTTTAGCTTAGTGGAAAAACTCGTGAATTTCAAACAGGGTTTAATCAGTTTATTTCTTTCTTTCTTTTGCAGTGCATGCTGTTACACTTGTATGCAAGTCTCCCAATTGAATATCTATGAAGTAGTTTGTTAAACAGCTGTATCTATTCTTTCTTTTGTCCATAGGAACAAAATTTTCTGAGGACTGCTATAGATATGGAGGTGAAAATAATGCAAGTGACGAAGCCCTTGGAAAAGCAGCATCACTGTATGGAGGTGCTTTGAGAAATATTGAGAAAGAGTATGAGGATTTCAACAGAATTTTATCTTCTCAGGTAAGTGCTGACTAATCTTTGAGTCTGTTTCCCACATAAGGCCTGTTTAGTTGGAGATCACTTGTGGGAATTTATGTGTAAGGGGGTTTTGAAGGCTCTTGGTTGGTTGTCTGGTTGGCAGGCAGGAAATATAGGTGTTATGGGGAATGCATATTTCAGGGTACAGTTACCATTCATGGAGTGAGTTGCTGATTGGAATGGATTTGAATAACTTTTTGAGGCAGATGAATATATCTCAGGCACTTAAAGTGACTTATTTTTAGCATGGCTTTACTTCCTGAAATTTCTAGACGATATCATTGGTGGATGTAAATTTGTATTGAAAGTTTCCATTGGTAGCTGGAGAGTGTGGTGACACCCTAGAATATCCAAGATGTTGGAAGCTTTTTTGTTTGAGTAAAGTTTTCACAAGTCCATCTTAGTCTCATGAAAACCAAAATGTTGAAAGTCTCCTTAGTGGTAACTTTCTGATACTAATAATCCAAGTTACCAAGCATATCATTCTGTTTCTGCTTTGCCTTTTACTTCCCGATTCATATGATATCAGTAGCTTGTCTATGGTATATTGGAATCGATCGCCATACGCATAGTTTCTGGTTGTTTGCTTAGAACAGCCTTTTTCAGTGCAAGTTTGAGTCCAAGCCTTCTGAAATATATCATATATGCCATTCTGATAGAAATAAGAACACACGTATGTGTGAGGTATTTGGATCTCATTTAGATACATTTTAAGTTTCTTACATTTGTTGACATTTCAGACTATAGACCCATTGAGGTCAATGGCTATGGGTGCACCCCTGGAAGATGCTCGTGGTCTTGCACAGCGCTATAGCCGGATGAGACATGAAGCTGAGATCCTCGTATGTACTAGTGGCTTAATCCTTCGCTGCAAGTGAGCAAACTCCAATTGCTGCTACTTCCATTTACCATGATCCTTCTTGTTTGTTCAATAGTTGGCTGAAATTGCTAGAAGAAAGGCACGGGTAAGAGAAGCTCCAATTCCTGAGCACACTACAAAGCTTCAGCAGTCAGAAGCTAAAATGATAGAGCACAAAGCAAGCATGGCTGTGTTAGGAAAGGAAGCAGCAGCTGCGCTTGCAGCTGTTGAATCTCAGCAGCAACGAGTGACCCTTCAGCGGCTGGTTGGCGTGGTGAGATTGCTTACTTATAATATGTGGCTATTCTATTTGCATTGTTTGTTACATTCATTTATTTCTTTTCCTTGGCAATTCGTCTCATTAAAGGTAGAAGCAGAAAAGTTATTCCATCTGAGATTAGCTGCTATCCTTGATGACGTTGAAGCGGAGGTAGAGTTTTCACTTTTCACTTTGATTGTTATGGGAAGTTGTGAAAATTCTCTTGCGTTCCTTTTTTTTTACGTTTTCTTCTTTGCAGATGTCCTCTGAGAAGCAAAGGAGAGAATCTGCACCACCTATTATATCTTCGCATAAGCGTGCTGAGAAAGCCCAGTACTTCCTTGCTGAGGTGAAACTGAGTAACTGGCAGTAAAAAGCAAGTATACATCGTATTTTCCATTTATATGTACAGTATCAATCTTTTTTGTGCTGCAGGCAATGCATAATTTCAATGGAACCACAGAGAAGGAACTGAGCTTAATTGTTGGTGATTATGTTGTCGTTCGTCAGGTAAGTGTGCTCTTAACAGTTTCAGTTGTGGAAGTAATGTAGTACCCACTGGCTAACCTGGCTTAAGAACTGTTAACGTGATCATAAGAAACCATTGGTCAAACACGACCAGTTAGTATATGGACACTTGTCCTCCTGCAGTGAGTGCAAACTGCACAGTGGCTGCCTACAGGCTTGTAGGATGAATTGGTCTATCAGTTGCTGAAAAGAATCATACTATGGTGGAAGGAATATAAGAATGAATTAGCCTGTCCAACCAAAAACACTACCCACTAACTGTCAATGCTATTTTACTGTATGATTGCATCCTTATTCTTTTTGTGCCTGCACCAGATTGCTCCCAACGGCTGGGCGGAAGGAGAATGCCGAGGGAAGGCCGGTTGGTTTCCGGCCGCCTATGTTGAGAGGCGCGAAAATATCCCCCCGAATAAAGTTTTCCCGCAAGCATAAGATCATAAGGGGTCATCTGTTTCCACTGCAGAGTTTGCAGGTGGCAAATAGCATTCCCTGCCACAGATACGCAGTTTGGTGCGACCTAACCCTGGTATTGGGGAGTTGTAAGCCTGTATGTAACTTCCGACCGGTTTGATGCTTCGGTTCCTGTGGTGGTCTAGACTTAGAACAAAATATGTCGGCACGTGCTGTGCCTGCACGCACATTGAAGATGTAGCTTCGCGTGTGTAACTATCCTTGATGTATCTATCATGTGCTTGCGGTAGCATAGGTCTTCCCTTTCTCTGCTATTGACGAGTGTAAACTGTAAAGTGATCCTTGCTTGATTTTTTTTTTGTTAGTGTGTATCAGTTGTTCTGTACAATACTCAATCCATCCCAAATTGTAAGACGTTTGACTTTTTTGACATCAAGTTTGACCATTCGTCTTATTCAAAAATTTGTGTAAAATATCACTTCTTTCGTCGTGGTTTGGTTTATTAATAAAAATTCTTCAAGAATGACTTAAATTTGACTATATTTGCACAAATTTTTTGAATAAGACGAGTGGTCAAATTTGGGGTTAAAAAAGTCAAATGTCTTACAATTTGGGGTGGAGTGAGTATGTTTTTTGAATGATACCATCCGGCCATCAGAGCTTTGACCCGTCGAAGTTGTTTTCCACCTGTTTCAGCCATGGTAATCTTCTGAAGGTTCGTGGTATGGTTCGGTATTGGAAATCATTGGATGAACACACGGTGTATAAGATTTTTAGTGATATGGCTGTGATCACAGAGGAATTCAATCCTTGAAATCGGTTTATCATCAGCTTACTTGTTGAAATCGGCTTATCAGCATTATCAACAGCTTACTTGGGTTGTGTACGCTTTGAGGATCCTAAGAATGCCGCACATGTATATCACACTATTAGTTTAGCTTGTTCGTTTCAGGTAGAGTTTATCAATTAGCCAATAATATTTTTCTCTCGCAACAAATCAGCACCAGCCGGTCTTATCGGCTCAGAAACTAACCAGAGTTTTTTTTAGAGAAGGCTCTCCCTCTATAATAACCGTTTGATCTATACGCCCTGCTATATGAGTCATTTGTCATGTGTGATCTTACTCTTTTTCTATAACAACCGTTCGATCTACATGTCGTGCTATATGAGCCTTCCGTCCTCCGTGATCTTACATATAAAATGTAAGACTCCTATTCAATCTCCAAATACGTTACGTCTAAAATCCCACCCGCCATAAGTCACGTTTATAAAATAGGTATACGAGTCAAGTACGACTTATATCCTTTGACGTGCACCATCTTTTGTTAACTTTTATTTTAGGTACATTAGTCAAATAGACCAACACCATCTTTTTTTTTTTTACTCCTGGCGCGTCCGTGATTGAATACTTCCTCTATCCTTGACAACACCATCTTTTTTTTCTTGGACTCCTGGCGCGTCCGTGATTGAACTTGCACGCAGCCATGTAGTGGGATAACGGACCACGGAAACGACCCCGGCCTAACTCGCAGTTATCGGATTTACCGAATTAAACCAAATGTGACATCTCATAAAGAACGGAGGGAGTATATTCTTTGACTATTTTGTGCCTCACGTCGTGGCACGAATTAAAGCAAGGTCGCATTATTATGAAAGCCGCCAATCCAGGAGACAAGCAGCAGAGCCTGACAAATTTGCGGTATTTATCTACGCCCGGACGTCCTTTGCAAGTCATAGGCACCCCAAGAACCATGCGCTGCACTAGTTCCATACTCGGAACCAGAATCAGTGGCAGCATTTGCCTGCAATAGAGAAGTAGCTTCAAATGAGGACTAAGGGATGTGAGAACTGGTTCTGCAGATGATAAAGTACAAGCCAGATGACATACTTGATTAATGCCATATCCAGAGTTAAAAGGGTTTGCAGCATAATTGGCCTTGGGGTTCCCATAGCTTCCAATATAACCTGCAGGAGACAAATCAGCTTCACCTAGTAATCCTCGACACCTATTATGCCAGATTACAAATCAGCTTCACCTACTATGCCAGATTACTAATCAACTTCACCTTTTATGCCAGATCACTAATCAGCTAACACAGCATCACATTTAACAACAGGCTAGTAGTTTCTCATTAATATGATCTATGAATAGGTTAGGTTTTATGTGTTGGATAGGTTAGGTTTTACGTGTTGGATAGGTTAGGTTTTACGTGGTGGATAGGTTAGGTTTTAGCATACAGATTTTTCACATCTCAAATTCACAATCGTTCTGGCAGCAATCTTTTGGAGCATCATCTTAACACTCGGCTACTTTTGTTGTCAAGGTCATCTCACCTAATTGATCACGTAAGTAGCAGACATTTGGAACAGAAGCGATATACTAAAAAAAATTAACCTCCTGCTCAGAGCATACCTTGATTGCCTGCAGACACAACGGCCAGTGACCTCTTCTCCGCGTTAGCAACCTCAGCTCGAAGTTTCTCCACCTCAGAAGCCACTGAAATCAAATTTTTCTGCATCTCCTGTCCCTGCTCATAACTCTGTGCATATCCTTTCTTCTCAAGCTCAATACCAGATCTGCATAGTGGCTCATAATAAATACCATACAGTTAAATAAAAGCAAAGGTATTTGTTGCAAATTCGCCTCTCTCTCTATTACTCAACAGAAAATCAAAATTCCATTAAATCCCTTTTTGAACATAGCATTCCAGTTTGGAGCGAAGTGTGTTTTGACTGGGTTGACCAGGTGAAAGAGAAGGGAACAATGACAATGTTTACTCATAATGCTGATTGGGAAGAGGTAAGGCAAAGCAGGGAAGAGCAGATAAAAAATTAATAATGATTTTTTTTTCTTAAATACGCAGTAGAGCATCATTGCATCATTAATAACGAGTTTGTATGCATGATGAAAATCCTTAGACCTTCTATATTCAAAAAAAGAATAGGTCAAATATTTAATAGAATGTACCTCAAATGTTCTGTTTCATGTTTGATCTCCTGGATTTCAGCTTTTAATGCACACACCTTCTGCAAGTCTTCTGCCGACCGAGCCAAATCCTGTGTTAATCCCTGAACTTGGCCCATGAGTTCCTGCCTCGCTGCACCCAGGTTTTGAATGTCCATACGAACTTGTGCAAGCTCTGCTCTCATTTCATGTGCTGCCCGGAGCTCTGCTTCCATCTTCATTGACCTCTCATAGACCTATTAAAATTATTTTGGATATTACAACCAAAAGAACCATAAATTAATTATATTTGATACGAACAGAACTATCTTATTGAACTAAGTCAGGCGGGTTCCAAGATACACGAATTTACATAATAATATAACATGCGTGTATTTGAAAATATCGGCTGAAAAATGGGGCCTTACGTCAAGATAAAACATAAAATCCAACTTATTCCTGTTATGCAGTTTCAAACCTACAACTAATGCAAAACTATGCAATTTCATGGAAAACACACATAAATACAAGTGTAACTAATTAAAAATATAGCATAATTGAACTTGGGTTGGTTTTGCAAGCAAAATGTAGAGTTAATTTTGTGGCTTCAAACAAAAGAGTGGATTCACATGATGTTGGTAAAAAGAGAGAGAAACAAGCATGCATGTGTTACCGTATTCTAAAAAAAAAAGTTAAGTGCGGAAAGAAAATATTTCTACTAGAATTAGTAGAGTTTATATCAACAATGTGAATATAGAGCTTGAGAAGCTCCTATGAACAAAGAATCACGTAGGACTTCTGGATCTCCAGGAAGGTGGAGGCAGTGTATTGTAGAAATCTAACAGATTGCTTAGGGTAAGTGTATGGGCTGTACGACACACAGAAAATTTGGAAACTGGGACATGTTAAAATTTTGAGCACGGCGCAAACAGCAAACATGAAGGAAATGACCTACATAATACATACACATAAGCATGTATTCTGCAGTATCTAGCTTGTTTAATGTATCTGCCTTCTCTGCCGTGATGTCATCTTCTCCCCATCTTTACCCATTATTCTCTCTCAGTCTCTCTACATTTTATCTCCATTATTTACATGCAAGAAGACGATGAGATCAAAGGATGTGAGGTTCCAATCTAATGCAAGCTGACAAACTTTCCACAATTGTGACAATGGCATGGACATGGACATGAAGATAAATATAAATCTAGGGTTCAAATTCTCTGGCTTGTCTCCTCCACTATTCCAGAAGCAGACACCTAGCCTGCCAGTGCCAAGGCACTAGGAAGCCTCCTGTCTAGCACCCAAGCACAGCCTAGATCCCTCCTTGCCTTGGCAGACACCAAACCCACTTAGGCGACCATGGCCTATTAAACTATGATATGAGGCAAACTTCCCTCCTTTTCAATTTATATCTAGTGTTACATGGACACAAGTGCAGGTGCTAGTGTCTAATTCAGGTGCCAATGTCTGATTCGGCAGATTTTTTCGATTTTTTGGGGGCACAGGAAAAAAACACTTGGAATCGAAAACAGGTACCAGAATCTGACATGGGTGTGAGTGTGTTTAGCTCGCGAAAAAAGGGACATGCGTCCAGGTAAACTTATCTCGTCTAATTTTTTTTCCCCAACTGCTGGTGCTATGCAAGCCAAAAAACAAACAAACAAAAATGGCACACATACACATTATGATCATTTGTGTGATTTTTGTGGCCGAGGTTTCCAAATACAGTGCAGGAGTGTCATAAATCTAAACAAAGAAGAAAACTGATTAATGGCAATACAAGTTAAAAGTTCACATCGTCAGTACCAAATTGACCCACTGCAACGCAAAATATACACTGCGAAGTCAAGTTTAGCCCGAAATTTGCACGACTGGGAGAAAATTAGGTCCCTATAGACACCAAACAAACATATAAGAGCCTCCAGAGATCTGCATAGCTTCAGTTTCTGGTTCAATTTGAGCAAGCTGCTTCCAGATAAGTACCCAAATTTGCAACGCAAAGAAAAGAAGATACATTCAGCCCGTTGAAGCTCGTGAGGGACTAGGGAGAGCGTCCGCACCTCGCGAAGGCGCA